ATATAATTAATTATGAGATTTTTATCTACTTGTGAACCCCAGATTGAGAAAACCTGGGTTAGGGTTTTGTTCAAAACTGTAACCCAAATATGAGCAATAGTAACAGAGTAAACTTTTAACACCATTATTTTCTATTTATTCCCAATTCTGAATAAAAATATATTTAAAATTATTATTTCTCTCAGCTACATTTTCATGCTTTTCATGTCATTTTTCTCTGATTCTGGCACAATGCAGCATCATTTTGCAAATAATAGTCCAACACAGTCTTGGTATTGACAGAACACCTATCGATAACTGGTATCCAGCTCACAAGGTTTCTGCAGATAATGTATTAGATCTGAATTTTATGAGCAGATTCGACACTCCCAGAAGAGCAGAAGAGAGAAAGTGAGAGAGATATAGCCATCTGTTTCTCTCCACGCACATTGCCAAAAGTGTGGCGAAGCCCATTCTGAATGGCAGAAGAGATTCCCTCCATGCTGAAGCGCTACAAGCACAGAACAGATGAAAGAAGAGAAAGAGAGAGTGGGACAGAAAGAACAGAATGAAAGAGAAATCACATCAGCTACAGCCAGAGCTAATCGAGGAAGAAGAAAGAGCTCGTCATAAGCCTGGGAACGACGTACATCTCGAATGTGTTTCCAGACCAGCGGCCACTTGTGATTGGAAAGTGGGTTTTGGGTTGTGATGGCCATTGACATATCATCACTGACCAACACACACACACACACAGCTCATCAGATATGGTCAACTAAAGCTCAAACATGCTTGTTTGACGCAGGAGAACCAATACGGTTTGTTCCTACACGTCAAGCAAGCGCAGTTGAGCCTGTTTACACATTGATATTACGCAGCGCCTGAAAATAGTACCCCGCTATGTAACTACCAATAAGCCTATTTTCAGGCGCTGCGTAATATCATTGCGCCTGCTGCACCCATGGTACGGCAGCAAAGTTCCTTGTAAAACGGTAAAACTCAACTGTTTAACTCTAGGGGAGCTGGAAAAGGAGCCTATTTTCAAAAATAGTGGAGTGTTCCTTTAAGAAAATAAATAGGGTAAATTTTGACCGAGCTTAAAGGGTTAGTTCACCCCAAAACGTAAATTCTGTTATTAATTGCTCACCCTCATGTCGTTCCAAACCCGTAAGACCTTTGTTCATATTCTTGATGAAATGTGAGAGCTCTCAGACCCTGCATAGACAGCAGCGCAACTGTAATGTATCCAGGTACAGAAACGTAGTAAGGACATCGGTAAAACAGTCCATGTGACAGCAGTGGCTCAACTTCAGTTTTGCGACGCTACGAGAATACTTTTTGAGCGCAAAGAAAACAAAAATAACATAATTTATTCAACAATTCTTCTCCCCCGAGTTACGTCTTCCGCCATTTTGGAGAGAGCCCAAGAGCGTAATCGACGTAATCAGCTTTGTTTACGCTTAGGGGAAAGTGTGCGTATGTGTTGTGATACTCTAAAATGGCGGTATTTTTGGGTGAACTATCCCTTTAAGCACAAATACTTCCACTAAACGTCCCAATCGAACGACTCGTGCTACTCACAGAAGACGGCAGCCTCTCTGATCCAGACATTTTCCTCTTCTTTTTCAGCATCTCTCGGTGGACCTTCAGCCGGTTCTGTACGTCTATGAGAACCGCGATGAAGCTGTTCTTCACCTCCTTCTCAAACTCCAGCTCATCCCTGAAGGCCAGCTGCTGGATCAGCTCCTCTGAATACCTGCGTATGGCCGTCTCCACGTCCTCCAGCTCATCGTTCAGCTCCAGCGCAGACATCAGCCTCACTCCTGCACAGACAGCACACCTCAGACACGCTTTCCACAGCCCTACACCTGACCTCCAGAGGGACGTACTCATGCTCCTCGTAGATCTGGCTGCTGTGAGACCTCTGGGTCTTCTGAGAGATGAGCGAGAGCTCTGATTCCATCTCTGGGGGGTCCTGCAGGAGCTCCTCTAGCTCCTCAATCACCTAAAAATAATATGACCTTTCCATTTAATTTGTTCTGCTTGGCATCACCAGTGGAGGGCACAACAACTGTAAAGGGTATGCGAAAAAGGGAAAAGTGAAGAAGTACTTCACGTTTGTCACAAGGTAAAAAGTACACGAGTTCGGGGATGAAAATTATTTGTTTTTAAGTGTTTAGGATCCCTTTGGTAAGCAGATCCGAGTGTGTTATGTTTCTTGTTTTGTATTTCATGTTTGGTTTATCTTCATTATGATATTGTTGACTAATCTCAAACAGTGTTAAATATCCACAGCTAATGTGGTGAATGTTTCACATAGTTGTTTGCTATCTATGCTTGCCTTTTTTTCTTCTTTCTTTGTAGTTTTACGGTGCTACGGTGATAAGATGCAAGGATGCTATGATGCCATTGTGCTGTAATGTATTTTTCTATTATTCTACTTATTTTATTTGTTTCTAATTATGATCAATGTTGAAAACAGTTGTGCTGCCGAATATTTTAGGGTAAATCGTGAAACATTTTTATTTTTCAGGATTCTTCAGTAAAAACAGTAATATTGTGAAATATTATTACAATTTTAAATAACTGTTTTCAATTGTAATATATTTTAAAATGCAATTTATTCCCGTGATAACAAAGCTGAATTTTCAGCAGCCATTACTCCAGTCTTTGAAATAAGTTTTAATAATTTTGTTTAAGTTTATTTTAAGTTACGTGTTTGGAAACCTTAATAATTTTAGGGCCTTATGAAATTGATTTTATTTTTTCCCAGATTTGGTTTTATTTTTAGGAATGGAAGCCAGTTACCATGGAATAAAAAAAAGGTACTTGCAAAAATTTGTATCTCACAATTCAGATTTTGTTTCTGTTTATATCTTGCAATTCAGAATTGCAAGAAAAAAGTCTGAATTGCAAGATAAAGTTTTTTTATTTCTTTATTCTGTGGCTGAAGCAGGCTTCCATAATATTTTACCCAATTTTTTTTTTTTCAGTTTTATTTTTTCCTGGGTTCTGTTTTAATGGTTAAATTAAATTTCAAAAATCAAATGACAAAACTTATACAAATTAACAACAATTTATTAAAACTTTAACAAAAATGAATAGAAAGTTTAAAAGACCACAGTTATTTAAAAAAGAAATCTTTTGAAACATTATTAATGTTTTTTCCTGTCACCTTGCTTAATTTCTAAATATTAAAAGTATTCATGTCTATGTATTATTCTTGTGTCTATTCATTATTCTATGTACTATTCTAATGTTTCTTTGTAATATTCAATTGTTCTTCATTTCCCTGCTGGATCTCGAAAGTAAAGTATCCGTGAGCTATGGAAAGGCACTGTATAAATTATAATTATTATTATTATTCATTTCTTAAAAAAAAAAATTATAAAAAATCTCTTACTACAGTTCAAAAGTTTGGGGTCAGTATTTGCTCGGCCAATGTTTTTCATTGTTTTCTGGTTATTTTCGACTGTCCGGCTCTTTGAATGAACTGAACTCTGTGTTTTCTGGACAGGAGTGAGGTTGGGTCCTCGCCTGTTCAGCAGTGAGCAGCGGCTCCTCGTTGATGCAGGACACAATGATGGAGTGCATGTCCATCTGCTCCCTCAGGTCCTCATCATCAGACAGGTCCAGGTTCACACTCTCCATCCGCTGACGGACCGAGACAGAGGAAGAGTTACTGCGGTCTGAATGCTGTCACTGGCAGCGGACACAGGCTCGAGACTGAGACTCACCGCTCTGTCCTCAATGCTCAGCGCTGAGAGGTGAAGTGAGCAAACCCTAGACTGACTCCAGTCCACCGGCATCACACTGCCATAGTTATCTGTGAGAGCCTTCCAGATCCTGCATAAAGAAAAGGGAAAGAATGTCTGAATGCCATTGCATTAGATAATTCAACTGAATTGATTTTTATAGGCAACAGTGGCAATGAAAGCCTAGTAGGTGTGGAAGACAGTTTGAGTGGAAGAAATCAAGACTCTGCTGGGAGGCCGGTTTGCTTGGGATGGCACATATTTAAATACATTAAAACAATGCATTCACTGCTTTGAGTTTCGGGTTGGTAAGATGATAATGTTTTTGAAAGAAGTCTCTTCTGCTCACTCAAGGCTGCAGTTATTTAATTAAAAATACAGTAAATACAGCAATATTGTGAAATATTATTACAATTTAAAATAGCTGTTTTCTATATGAATATATTGTAAACTGTAATTTATTTCTGTGATGCGCAGCTGAATTTTCAGCATCATTACTCCAGTCTTCAGTGTCACATGATCTTCAGAAATCATTCTAATATGCTGATTTGCTGCTCGAGAAACACTTCTGATTATTAGCAATGTTGAACACAGTTGTGCTGCCCAATATCTTTGTGGAAACTGTGATACATTTTATTTTTCAGGATTCTTTGATGAATAGAAAGTTCAAAAGAACAGCATTTATTTGGAATATAAATATTTTGCCACATTATAAATGTCTTTACTGTCACTTTTGACCAATTTAATGCATCCTTGTTGAATAAAAGCATTAATTTCTTTACAAAATATATAAAATCTGACCCCAAACTTTTGAATGGTTGTGTACATGCATTCATACATACAAATATTCATTTGACCAGATGTAATCTAGCCAAATAGTAGTAATGATATTGCATTAGACATTAAAATATTAAAATAACACCTGCAAACAAGTAGCGAGTGAGACCTGCAAATAGAAGATGCTAGAACTAACTTCACTTTTTTGGGGGAAAATTTTTGCAATGACTTTTAACCAACTGGTGGTCAAGACAATCCCCAAACCTCATGCTGTTTTTTTTTTTGTTTTTTTTTTGTGTAACACAAAAGTAGAATTTTTTTATAAATAATCTTTATGAAGCTTTTTCCAGTCACCATATCAGGAATGCCAATAAAAATAAAACAGCACCATCACAAAAAGCACCGCTCTTTATTTTAATGCCTTTTTCCCTTTTTTTGAAATTGGATATTGCGTTACCATGGAAATTGTACTTTAAATCCTTTTAGTGGGCTCCTCCCCTGGCGGGCGGTGTCATATTACAATACTTACTACAATATTTTATAATCAAAACTTTTCTAATCTTGACAAAACACATACTGTTGAAAAGCTCTGAATCTCCAGGTTCCATATTTGGTGGTTATTTTGTGATAGAAGTAATATTCCGACAGAAATGTATATATTTGTGAATTGTGACAGCAAAATGCATCAAAAAATTCAATGGAGTTTGGGTGTCACCCAGTGGCTATTTTTGTGATATCAAATTAAAATTTGGAACATAACTTAGTTAGACATATGGCTTTGATTGTATAGCAATTTTAGATTCCCAAATATTTTGCAAAATATTTATTTTATATACAATTAATTTTAGTAAAGTACCCTTTTATTTTTTGAAATGCTTTCACTTCAGCAATAATCTTCTCATCATGTAACTATATGATTAAACTATTACTGCACAACTGTTTCAATCCTACTTCATGATAAATCATGCCCCACACAGTAAACAACATCCACAGTCACGTGACCTCGGATGTTCCTAATCAGCCAGAACTAATCATCAAACTCAGCATGCTGTCCTTCACTCAAGAGTGTCTTCTGTGGTCCACTGATGAAAATAACCATGATGGTGTACATTAATGCAGCAGTGTGGTACATTACACTAATGCATGCTTTTGTTTCCTAACTCATCGCGTTTCAGGCTCGTATCCTCATTTGTTGCGGCCGGTTTAGAGTCTACATTTCGGAAGCATGACTGTAAGTTCTCGTGGAAGCGGAAGATCATGTCCTCAGTGCAGGAGTAAGAGCTCGTCTCAAACTGGCTCATGAATATTAATGAGAATGTACTTCCGATTCCAGCAGCGTCAGCTAATTAATATTCATGAACGTCAGTCAACATATGCTTTGCAGCTAATAATAAGTTAAAACAAACCCGCTTTAAGGCATGCTACTATTACTACTACTACTACTGCTACTACTACTAATAGTTAAATCCGTGGAATGAACAACACGTTGCGTAATTAATATTAATAACGTAGCCTTCGCGGCCATAGTAACAGATGGAATTGGAATATCAATGTTTGTCATGTATAATTCAACGATGCATTTTACTTGTATAAGCATTAATATTTTGCGGTTTTGTAGTAATAATTAATATTATCATGTTTAAAATATTCAAATATAATAAAATATATTATCTTTTATTATAACTACATTTATATAACTAGCTATGGCTATATTTAAATAACTAGTTTGTGTACAGCAATGAAAATAAATTCATTGTTTTTACTATCCATAATTTAGAATGATTGAATATGGTGCACATAATCAATATTTGAATTGATCGTATTTATGCGTTCAAATGAAGAGAGAAAAAAAGTTCAACCCCTTTCTGTTTGGAAATACGACTGAAACATATTTAGACAGAGTTTAAGTTTCTAGAGATGTCCTATTCGTGAGTGAATCGTTCCTTTGAGTCGAATCTTTTCAATGAATTGATTGAAACTGCTACCAAAACTGACCTAAATGATTCACGCATCGCATCGAATAATCTGAGTAGTTCTCCAACACACTGCGCCGATTTATTATTTTATTTATTTATTTATTTTTAAATAAAGAAAGAAATGGCAGAAATTATGCAATAAAACATACTGGAAATATGTTGGCTTGATGGCATTTTTGTATGACAGGTTTAAATACGTCCAAAACCATTTCAGGCAAATTTATTTAGTTATTTAATTAATTAAAAAATATATATTTTTTGTTCATCTTTGTTGTTTGTTTATTTTTAATGGTTGTTATGTTTTTGAAGCTATTATTATTTAGTTTTGTGTGTACTGAGGCGTGTTGTGTATTTCATTCAAGCCATAAAAATACAGTATCTTGTGCGGCAGCAGCATCTTTTCTTATGTTTTTTATCGCTCATATCGTTGAATGGCTCGGTTCCGCCGATCGGTGGCGCTCGTGTGACTCGACGCCTCAACAGCGCGAGAGAAGAATCACCCGGAAGCGCCAGTGAAACCGGAAGTGCAAAAATGGAGGCAGCCGTGTTTATTTCATCCCTCGTCGACTGCTGTGCTTTAATATTCCTCTCCGTGTATTTCGTATCCTTCTCGATCTCTTGAACTGTGTTCGCAGCTGCTGCAGGCCGTGACTGTTTATGTCAGTGTTTATGTTTATGTCATTCATGATGAATAATAATCTTTCTGATGTGTGTGTGACTGCATTAGCGGTTTCAGAAGGATCGACTGAAGCTCCCTACCTTCACCGTTGTTATAAATGATTATTAATAGTCGCCATGTTTCCCTAACTCCACGCTCAGATTATTACTCTGTCTGATCTGGAATGTGACTACATCAATGCTCGATCCTGCTGCTCCAAGTTAAACAAAGTGAGTCTGATGGCAAAGTTCATTTATAGTTCATTTATTGGAGAGCAGGGGGGGTTCATAATCTTTGAAGAAATCCACATTTGAAATGGTGTTGGAAAAGCTGTCTGAATGTGGCTGTGCTGGTGAGATAATGTGGCTGTGGTTTGTGTTCAGTGGGTCATTCCTGAGATGATCGCTCAGGCTCTGGCCACGGTGCTGATGCTGGTCTCCATGCACTGGTTTGTGTTCCTGCTCAACCTCCCTGTGGCATCCTGGGACGTGTACAGGTGACCACACCTCACTCACACACTGTGTGTGTGTATAAACCTGAGCAATATTGAGTTGAGTGTTAACAGCCATTGCTTCGTGTGAACAGATACGTGAAGGTTCCCCTGGGGAACATGGGAGTGTACGATCCCACAGAGATTCACAACAGAGGCCAGCTCAAGTCCCACATGAAGGAGGCCATGATCAAACTGGGCTTCCACCTCCTCTGCTTCTTCATCTACCTGTACAGGTAAACACACAGCCTTTGAGTTCTGGTCAAGAAGCGGCCGCTTGGACGGGAAGAGACTGCGATCAAGCCCGAGTTTGGGTGGCAAACGTTTGAAAACACAGCGCACACCAACCATCTAACCACATTTTTCACAAGAGTCGAATCTGTTGTCAACAAAAGACAAGCTTTAAGGACTCTCTGCTCTATGCGTTAACATTTAAAAAGCTAAGAAATTAGGCTAAGTATTTGTAATTTTACTGTAACTTTGCAGTTGCGATGCAAAATAACGTAATATTTATTATTGTTAAATAATAGTAATCATTTTATTTTACAGCGAAATAGCATTCTAATAGCAACATTAAAAAATATTTTAATAATAATTAGGGTTGCAAAGGGGTGGAAAATTTCCTGTAAATTTCCGGAAAACTTTCAAAAAATCCCTGGAATATTCCAAAAAATCCTGGAAATTTTCCACTTTTTTGCAACCCTAATAATAAAATTACTATTATTATCATTATAAGTATTTTATTGTATATTATTAACAAAAGTAACAGTAATGATTATTACTATTAATATGTATCATTATTATGTTATTACACTTTTATTAAATATATTTTATTATTTTTATAATTAACAGTAGTAAAAATAATTATAGTTTTTATGATCCACTATAATATTTCTATTATTCATATTTTTATTGTAGTAATAATATTTATTATTATTAAACAATAGTAGTAATTTTTACAGCAAAATAGCATTCTAATAGCAAAATTTATTTTAGTAATAAAATGTAAAAAAAACTATTTAGTAATAATAAAATTACTATTATTATCATTATCAGTAATTAATTTTTAAATTATTAACAAAAGTAACAGTAATAAGTATTACTATTAATATGTATCATTATTATGTTATTACACTTTTATTAAATATATTTTATTTGTTATAATTAACAGTAGTAATAAATTGTAGTTTTTATGATCTATAATATTTCTATTATTCATATTTTTATTGTAATTATACTTTTATGAAATACTAACGTTTTTATTTTACAGTAGAATAGTATTATTGCAGTAGTAATGTTTCTTTTTTATTTTATTCATATATTTATTTTAATGTAAGTAATATTAATCTATATATTACATAATACTAAGTAATAATAATGATATTATTTTTATATTATTGTAACATTTTGTTTTTTAAATAATAAAATAAAGTATTTTGAATATTAACCAATTTATAATAATGACTAATTATTATTATTATTATTATTATTATTATGTAGTCATATTGAGTAGGTGGAAAAACGCCTACTCTTTTTGTTTTTTTGTCCTTAGCTGATCACATGCCCTCATGCTGCATTCAACAAAACTTCATCAAATCACGTACAATCTAGAACCGAACTGTGAATCTGAATCCACATGCGTTTCAGTGTTCAGATGAGATGTTAAAGAGCTGGTAACAGTAAGCCCTCCCTGTGCAACTCTGTAAATTCTTCTTTCCTCTGCTGTGTTTTGCAGCATGATCCTGGCTCTCATCAACGACTGACCCACAACACAAACGGCCAAATCATGAACTGCTCTTTATATTTTGTGAATAAACTCCATGCATCCCTGTCAGAAGATCAGCTTTCCTCAACACATCCTCACTAATGACCCTCAGAAACGGCTCGTCTGCGGACCACAAACCCCCGATAAAGCCGCATGCGTCACGTTCACTTTGGTTTCTCTGTGTCTTGCACTGCTTCTCAGAGCTGAAGCATCAAGACAATCGCACTGAATCACTCAACATCTGTTTGACCAGCAACTGCACACAAAACACACGTCCAGCTCACAGTCTTCTGGAATTCGTAATAATAATTACGGTAATTACGACTTTTTATCTCTCAATTCTCACCTTTTTACTTACAATTGTTATTTTATATCTTGCAGTTCTGAATTGCGTGACAAAGTCTGAATAAGCTCGCAATTCTGAGAAAGAAATTCTGAATTGCGAGATGTAAACTTGGAATTGCAAGGAAAAAATTCTAAATAAATTTCGAGTTCAAATTTCAAAATTGACTTTTTTTCCTCAGAATTAGAAGTTTGTATCTGGCAAGTTTATATCTTACATTTCAGACTTTGTTTCTTGCAGTTCCGAATTGCAAGATATAAACACAGAATGAACTCGCAATTCTGAGAAAAAAGTTCTAATTATGAAATAATTTTATAATTCAGAATTTTAACTCCGAGAAAAAAGTTGCAATTACTGCAAAAAATTATTTTTATTTTTTTTTGTGTCCCGTGGCAAAAAAATAAGTTTATGTAAACAAGTTTTACATGAAGATAAGGAAGACTTTTGGCATTATGATTATTTTATGACAATTTAGCACATTTTAAGTGTCATTACTGTAATGTGTCCAAATGAGTCTTTTTCATTCCTTATCAAACTCCATGCTCGTTTTGTTGTTTTGAAAGTAGAATACGTTAAAATGGTACAAACAATATTACTCTAATGCACATATATTACCATTTCAATCTTTATGATTTAAGTAGTCTTATTGTAATAATTATAATAGTTTTTTTGTTTGTTTTTTACAGTAATGAGTTTTTTGTTGTATTATAATAATGACAAATTGGAAACAAAATGTGCTTAATTGTCATCTAAATATTACACAAACTAAGACCCCTTAATGGTTTGAAATATATGCTTTTTTTTTTTCAATTTGATGAGCTAGACACGTTCCTGTTCATTTTCATGATTTCTTCCTCATCCACTTGCATGCTTTTTTTAAACTGCCTGTTGTTGGAAGCATTGTCCGTGTATGTGAACTTGTTTACAGCTGAACGGCGCACGACTCAAAGGAGCTCTAGAGTCAGCAGAACAAGCACTAATGTGTTGATCACAGATCCCCGGTCTGAATCACATCTGAGCCGTTTGATCAACTTCCTGCTAATGACATTAGAATGGCTTGTTTTTGAGCAGATATCATTGGTTTTGTGCTGCTTCTCATGATATTTGCTTGATGTTGAAGTGAGATTTCATCTTTGTAGGGGTGTATCTCACAAAACTTGGACCCCAGAATCACAAGAAATAAATTCTATTTTGTTGAAAGAAACTGAAGGCAATGTTTAGAACCATTAAGACATGTTATTTTAATGAAAATTGAGCACATTTGTCTTCTAGAATTTTCATTTCCATAGTGCTGGGTATTTTACTTTTGGGTATTACATTTTTTCCAAAGGTGCTTATTACAGTAATACATGTTCAATTCTCAAAAGTCATCAAATTTAAATCATAAAATGTGTTTTGTATTTATATATCATAGTATTTCCTGTGCTGCCTGTTGATTTAAAGCTTAAATGTCATGGAAATACTATACAAATATAAACTATATATTTACATGTTTACAACATTGTAAACTATAAAAACGGGTATCATTTTCTTTACACAAAATACTTTTCTCTTGATTTTGAATTGAATTTTTTTTTTTTGAGGATTCACCATTGCTGAGGTTAATGAATGCTGGGTAAGCAGGGGTGTGGTTTTGTTCAAACACTACGCAGCGTCACATGATCTTCATTGAGTTTTATCAGTCAGTGTTCTGTGTTGAATAGACCTGTTCAGTAGCTGTTAGGGATGTAACGATTAACTGCGAGCCGGTTGAAAATTGATTCAAATATGTGACGATTCAAATCGGTTGAGATGCTAAACCAATCGCGATTCAATTAGGTGTAGGAGTTTATATGAATGCATGTCTGAGGGCAACTTACTGTCTTTAGAAAAGTTTAGATGGTATTTTTTCTTTTCATCTTGCCTCTGTATAAAGCATATTAAAGTTCGTAAGTTCAGCGCTGCTTGGGGGGCGTGTCAAGATGGCGGAGTGACAAGTCGAACTTTTCACAGGCTCTGATATAATTGTGTAAAAGGCCATCCATTCTTGGTCTACGGTTATCGCATTTATAATTATTTATTTACTTTAATGTTTTTTGTTACTACATTCGTGTGAATTTTTGCTTTTACAAGACTATTCGCTTGCCTTTTTATGCTGCACTCGCTGAAGCGTTATGGCGGGGAAAACTGGAGAACATGCCTATGTTGGAATAGCTTCAGGGGAAGCAGGAGAAGAAACTATTGATACGATGGAGATTGAAGTGTCGTCTGCTAAAGATGTTCGACAGAAGACTATGCCTCACACCCCTCTCAAAAGTCCTGGGCCCAAACGAGTGAAAGCAGTACAGGAAAAGGAAGAGATTTCCACTAGCGTTCTGTACGCCGCCATCCAAAGCCTCAGTCGTAAGTTTGACGAGAATTCGGAATACATTCGTGCCTTTGAATTCCAACTGAAAGAGAACACTGATGCCATTGTCAACATTTCTGAGTCTCTGGATGCCAATACGACGGCGTTGAAAGGCGTTAAGGAGGATGTGGATCATTTGAAATCACAGGTAACTCAGTTACAGAAGGAAAATGAACTGTTGAAACAGAAAGGCGTGGAACATGACCGATACAAACGCAGATGGTGTTCGAGGCTAAATGGGGTTCCAGAAAGAGAAGATGAGGATGCCAGAAGGGTCGTAATTGATATTCTGTCACAGATCGTCCCTCACTCTCCTGAACAACTGCAGAATACTGTGGACACAGTTCATCGCCTTGACAAAAAAGTGAAGGGCGCAAGACCGTGGCAAATCATCATTCAATTTGGCATGAGAATTGTACGTGACATGGTTTGGAGGATGTCGAAAAATGCACCGGTCTGCATGGAGAGAAAAATCCACGTTAGAGAGGATTTCTGTAAGGACAACAGGGAGGCTCATGTTCGTCTATGGCCTAAAGTTGAGGAGGCAAGAAAGAAAAACGTAAAAGCATACCTTCGCGACGGATATGCAGTGATTAACGGTCAGAGAGTGACAGCTTAATCCGTGGTGAACGAAGTGATGTGCCTGCTTTTGAGCTAACTTTATTTCTGTGTGGAGAGGTCCTACTGACTATTAAGGCACTAACATCTTAATCAAGATCATGCGATTGTAGAGATCCAGTTACTTCATTTAGAATTCTATACAAAGATAATATCGAAAATATTACTTGAACGTCATTCCATATGGCTTATTTTGAGTTCTGTTTTATCGGCCTTAAATGTGTTACTGTATGCCTGTGTAAGAGGAACGATATCTGATAGTTAGCAGTTTTTTTTTTCTTCATTCGAGTTTATGTATTTTTCTCTGTTATCTTTAAATGTTCGAGGTATTAGGTGTAATGTTAAACGTAAGGCACTTTTTCTTTTTTGCAAGGAGCAAGTAAAAGTAAATTGTTTCTTTCTTCAAGAGACTCATTCAACTGATGTAGATGTGAGATTTTGGAAGTCACAATGGGGTGGAGAGGCTTTATTCTCTCATGGAACCATTTACATTATATTTAAATTCTGTAATTGAGCAGACGCTTTTATCCAAAGCGACTTACAAATGAGGACAATAGAAGCAATCAAAACCAACAAAAGAGCAATAATATGCAAGTGCTATATTAGTATATTATTATAGTGTTATATTTCAATTTCACAAAGAAATGTGCAGCATTTTGTCCAAGCAATAATAAAAGGACACATTTAATTTAGAATTTGTCTTAAATCTAATTTTGTTAAAAAAAAATTATAATAATCATGAATCGAATCGAATCGTGAAATCAAAATCGTGAATCGAATCGTGAGTTGAGTGAATCGTTACATCCCTAGTAGCTGTTCATGTCTCGTCATACTGCTGTCATTCGAGAGGGTTTGGTTTGTAAGCATAGGAGATCTGTGTCATCGGTTTTGTTGAGTTCTTTTGCATATTTGCATATGTGGGGTTTATTAAATAAAAAGATGATCATGAATAGCATGTTTTCACAATTCATTTAGATACAGTTCAGTGCACATTATGCTTCACTGTCCAGTTTTGTTATAAAACTAAATTTTGATTTCTTCAGAGAAAATAGAAACCTAAATGAAATTGGATATTTTCAAAATGCCTAAATGGTCCGCTATTGTAATACCACTGATACCAGCATTATTTTAGAATTATTGAGATACTATTATAGTTTTTATTAATTTTTAAAATGATAAATATTGTAATACTGCGATAATGTAAATTTTTTTTTTCTTCATATTTTACTTTTTTGGTGTTTGTTTCAAACAGTTTTTGTTTTATAATTTTCTGTTTTTATTTTAAAGCTCTAGTCATGTTGTTTTGGCATTTTTTTTTTTTTTTTTACTATATAAACGTATTGATTTTTTTAAAAAGTTTTACCAGTTTTTAGTAACACTTTTATAGTTTTATTTTTAGAAATATTTTTAGATTTTATCTAATTATCTATTTTATCTTAAAGTTCTAGTAATTTTGTTGTTTTTGTCATTTTTATTAAAAATTGTTTTTACAAATTTTTGTTTGAGTTTTAGATCATCTCCTCGTTAACTCTAAAGACAAAGATGAAGCCCTCCTGCTTGCCATAGTAGAACCCCAGCAGCAGATTACAGTGCTTCTCCCCTACGGCTATCCACCAAGACTATTAGAGCATATTTCCCCTAAGAGAGCACCTCGGCCCTAGAGACCAGAGCCTACACTGCAGCTGGTCAAACTGGTTCTCCATACGAGAGCGGTCCTCCAGGTTTTCCAGGTCAAAATCCTCCACACCATAGACGAGTCTGGCCCAGATCCCTCTGCTTTTAAGAAGCTGCACAGTGTGACCAACCTGGCTCTACGCGCCATTAAGGGTGCTTTCACACCTGGCCCATTGTTTCGGAACCTGGTGCGCTTCCCCCCTTAGCTCGGTTCGTTTGGGCATATGTGAACACGGCAATTGCGCTCAGATCCGCGCCAAAACAATCGGTCTGAGATCGCCTGAACGAGGTGGTCTCTCTACAAAAAAACAAAAACAACAACAATAAGCCCGCAAAGCTGTTGTCGTTCCATCCTGACGGATGACATGCATGACAGCTAAGTGGAATCCCAGAAAATAAACCGTGAAACTTTGACCAATGAGAGAACAGTTTACTCGTGCGTGACTTGTATTAACAAATTTGGTCTGTTTAGAAACATTGTCGTGTGAAAGCGAACCGCACCAAGAATAAAAAGCAACATTGTAATAATTTTAATCACTGTTTCAGAACAAAGCAATCGATCTACAGGTGTGAAAGCACCCTTAGTCAACAGCCCAAGGAATGGCCTACCTGGTGGTTCTTGAGCTCGAAGCTGACAAGACAACCAAGGTCAACGGCTGGTGAGGTGCCTCCTCATTTGGGCACAACACAACCTTCGTTTGCTGAAGGCAGTGCACGTGGAAGGCAGATTGAACCAGGAAGTGGACATGTTGTCCCGGAGTGGTGTGTCTCTAGGGGAATGGAGACTTCACCCCCAGATGGTTCAAATAATTTAGTGTGTCTTTGGGAGAGTAGAGGTAGACCTCTTCGCCTCAGAAGACAACTCTCACTGTCCAATACTTTTCTCTTAAGAAAAAGGACGCATAATCCATGAGTGGCCCAGTTTGTGAATATATACCTTTCCCCAGTTGCTGTTCTCCCTCAAGTCATCAGATGAACCAGGGAAGACTGCTCTGTCCTTCTAGTGGCCCCACTCACCCCACCCCTGTTGTGGTTCCCCAAGATGGTACAGCTCCTTGGCCAATCGATAGCCATTTCAGTGAACTACACACTCGTGCACTCACAGCAATGTGCCTCTAAGGTAAGGTGCTCTCTACTCTGTTCAGAGCACAGGCCATTACCCTTTCCACTTCTGAGGATGAGCGGGGTTTGCACTTACTCTGCCCAGTCTGGGCTCTCAGAGTTTATGTGGAGCGCTCTAAGCCAGTTTCAGCAATCAGAGCAGCTGCCGGTTACGAAGCAAAAATTATCCCGCTGGACAGTGGATGCAATAGCTCTAGCTTACGCCTCCTTGGGTTTACAGTGTCCCATTGGAGTGAGAGCCTACTCCACCAAGGGTATGGCCTCTTCCTGGGCATGGTCCAGTGGAGTGTCTATTGTTGACATCTGTGTGGCAGCTGGCTGGTCCTCACCGTCTACCTTTGCCAGGTTTTATAGCTTGAACATATCTGCCCTTCAGGCAAGGATTTTGTCCACTTAACCAGCCTATGAGCCCAGTGGTGGTTGGGCCTGCTGTTTGCCACGAGGACTCTGACCTCATGACCTGAACCTCATATACCTCTTTTCCACCAGGGCTGGTGTCGGAGCCGGAGCCCAATTGGGAACCGGACCGCATTTTTCCACTCAAAAAAATCCTGGGCCAGTGCCCAGATCCTGGTTTCGAACTGGACCTGAAACCTTACTGGTCTCGAACAAGGGAACCTATGAAGTCAGTAGGTGGAGCTTCCACTACAGACCGCAGTTTGAAAGGAGCCATTAGGCTTATGCGAGGTGCATCGGCACTGCGAAGACCGATCGGCAAATAAAATCAAAGTACCGCAAGAGCAATTGGAGAGCAGATGACTCTTTATGCTTTTGAATTGCTCTTGTGGTACTTTGATGTCATACAACGATTGGTTTGCAACGATTAGTTCATACAACGATTAGTTCAGGTAAATTAACAACAATAACAGCAACAATTAAATATGTCAGTTCATCAGTGGTCAGCAGAAGAGATCAACAATCTTCTTCCGCAAGAGATAACAAGCGATTCTGGTCACAGGTTGGTGACGTAGAGGGTTCTGCTCCCTGCCAGTGGAAACGTGAGCCGGTTCTGAACGAGTGCCAGTCTTGGCCAATCACCGGTTCCAGCTCTGGCACCAGCCCCAGTGGAAAAGCGGTAATAGTTTTTGGGTGAGTTGTGGTTCCTCCCTAATATTAGCCCATGCGACCTATTACGGCCCTTAACCTTGAGTACCCTAGGGCTGGGCTCACAGGACAGGTTTCCATTCTGTGCTTATAGCATGGCACTATTGAATTTTGTTCCCCAAAGGGTCAGCTAAACTGATGCAATGTAAGGGAACGTCTTGATTACTAACGTAACCTCGGTTCCCTGAGATAACGGGAACAAACATTGCGTAGCTGGCTGTCCTACTGTGCTTGCACCTGAGTCAATGCTTGCCACTCCTCAGTCTAAAGATTCTGATAAAATATATATATAAAATATATACAGGCTTCACCTGTTTTGGCGGGCTAAAATGTCATTTGTTTGGGCAGCTGCACAAACCTGATTCAAGTAGGCTTCAGTATTTCAGAGAAACTGAGTTTTCTCAAAGCTTCAGCTAAACCGATTCAACGTTATCTCAAGGAACCTAGGATACATTAGTAACTGAGACGTTTTCTTAATGGTTTTAGTGTTAGATTTAGTTTTAGTTAACTATAACTCTGACTCATACTACTGGATACAGTGTTCCCACAGTCATGAAAAACTAACTAAAAAAGAAAATACAATTATTTACCGGGAGTTTCCAGGTCTGTAATTAAGAAATTATCCAAAATCTTTAAAAGTCATAAACATTTCAGTTCATCTAACAGGTTCTTATTTGATGTCTTCACGATTGATTCCAAATTATGAAAGAAATTCCATCAGCATTCCTTTCGGATCAACCATTCATCTAACAAAAGTGATGACTTACTCTGCATAGTTTAAAACCCTGAATGCTTTATTTAAAGTATGTATACATAACACCTCTCCTACAGAACATTACATAATAGTACAATCACTTAGAATAATAACACACTGAAAAGCAAAATAGATCCTCAGAACCTGACTGCAATAAACTTAGTCGTAGCCCAGAACTCCACCAGAGCACTACTGTTACCGTCACCCGTCTGTTATACCGCCTCAGAGCACAAGAAAGTCAAACTAAGACTGAAATGTAACACAAATATTCAGAAGGAAAGGAAAATTCAGTTGCATAAACAGAATGTACAACACCACGATTCGGTAAGATCTCACATATGTGTGAGGGTGTTTCTGCATGCACCTGTGTTGTCTTTTCGCTTGTGCGCGCCACTCCTCGCTAACGGAACATGTTCGGCTGGTCAGGGAGCAAATAACCTGTACAAGGAGTTTACCTGATGCAGGTGAGAAATAGTTAACATTTGTAAGGGAGGATATATGGCAAGAAATACACACATGTATGTATATATATATATATTTATATATCTAAAGATTCTTCATATATCTGTATATGAAGAGCACATAATTACAGAATAAATCATAGTAGGCGAGTGATGACACTCTGAATACCTAAATCATTACGGGTACACCTGTGTGTACTAATGCGTACGAAAGTATAAGAAATTCACCAATAGAAAAAAAGCATTTAAGAGGCCACTTGCCAAGACATCCGTTATATGATAATACAAGGGGAAAAAAACAATAAAGCGAAAACAAATAAATCAACTCAAAATAAAAGCCAATAAAACTACGAAAAGCTGATGAGTAATCATTTACATGTCAGAGAAGCGTTTAAAAAAAACAACATAAAAAGTCAAGATGTGATAATACGAGAAAACAAGACCAAATAGGAGAAACAGTATGATGGAAACTGAACTCCGAAACATCTGGGAGTCCGTTCTGACGTACTTCCCGTGACAAAATCACTCGCCTCACACCAAGAGCGTGAACATTCACTGTAAAAATGACCTCAAGCCCAGCACGAACACCTAACGAAGGCAAAGTACGCACGCTGAAGGCCCGTATTTACATGTGGAACGTGACGTCGGCTCATTGGTGTCATTAGCATGCTGTGAATCTTAGTAAGCATAGCTTAGCCTGTCTTCACCCTGCTCATAAATCTTTCAAGAATAAAGAATAATCATCCATCACTTCCCGCTCTCAGAATAAAGTACCATAAGCAATGAAAAATAGTGAGGTCATGATTGGACTTTTTGAATCAAAATGAATATCTGTTAAAAAATGCCTGTAAATTCAGTCATTTAAAATAGTTGTGAGGGAAACGAAAACAATATCTTATATCTCTGCTGGTGAAGACACTTACTTTCAAGCATACGAGGTGGCTAAAAGAAGTTCATGCTGAAAAATAAAGATATGATTTGTTCTCTCTCCGACATGTGCGAGAGCCTGCACATTTTTTTTGTCCCCTCGCTGAGTGAATATTGTACAGAACACAAAGCAAGCCTGAGGCCTTGATTCATTCACAATAATAAATTAAAGTCGTAATAAATAATGATCTGAGTCATGTTTGTCCGTGTGTGGGGGTGGGTGTGGCTTCAGGAGGCAGTCGTCCACTCAGGATGCAGTGTAGGGAAGAGGGGGAGGAGCTTGAGCCGAGGAGGGGCGTGTCCTCGGCGAGGCGTGTAGCGTGTGCACTTGCTGCCGCCACACGGATGTGAAGTCAGATGGTGAAGGGCAGCCGCCAGCTTCATGTGTCCCCAGCGTTGCGGGTGGGGATGTGAAACCGCCAGGAAAAAACATCCATCTGCCGTTAGATTTACTTCATTTCTCATTCACAAAGTCTATAGTGTGTCTCACTGTATATTTTCCAAAGTGGACATCTGCTCCAGAGTCAACATCAACTGTCCATGCTATAGCATTCTACAGGAGGAGAAGAGGAGCAGAGATGGAGACCAAAACCACAGCAACATTACTAACAAAAGCGGTTTACAAATTACGTTCAGCTCAGTTTAAATCCTGAATCTGAATGAAATGAGAACGCTATAGTTAGGAGTTGTTAAGATTGCATATATATATATATATATATATATATATATAATATACACATATGAGAGTCCAGATTTGACACCTATTTTGTGTCAAGAGAGCGTTTTTTTTTAAATTAGCATATTAGCTAGCTGCTCCAGTTCAAAGGGTTAAAACACAAAAATAAAGTATTTTTTGATTCCATATTGATTTTAGTTTTATCTAGTAGTTACAAAAACTTCTAAAGGAGTTTTTAAAGGGGTCATGAACTGAGAAATCAAAACTCCCTTGATCTTTTGACAGATAAGAGGTCACTGTACTATAAAAACATCCTGTAAGTTTCAGAACTCAAAACTTTCTCGTTAGTCTAAAAGCAGCTTAAACTGAAGCCAATCTGCCAAAACGGCAGGTTGTGGAATGTGCCACTTTATGATGTAATAGTGTGGCTAAACCCCGCCTCCACAGAAGAAGATCAACGCCTGCTTCTACAGCACTGCCTGTTTAGCCCCGCCCACCGATTCAAGGCAAACGCAGGTCTAAGCAGAAAATAGTCTGTTCTAAATTATGATGTTTTTTGATGTAAAAATCTTGACAACATTATAAGTGGACCCCAGAGAACAGTATAAAATAATAAACAAAGGCAGTTCATGACACCTTTAAAGATCTCAAGAAATGTTTTGATAAAAGTCATTTTCGTTCCTGTATCATTTCCTACTGAAACAGGAAGTTTAATCAGGTTTTTTTATGTTATAGTCTCTAGTTTGTCAACACCAACAAATCCATGATTTGCTACTTGCTAATTTTTCCACAGAGATTTTTAAGTCTTCATTAAAGCATTATAAGCCATGAAATAAGCCAATCAGCTATGAAGTAAATCACATTACAAACTTTGGTTTGTTACAAAAAAGTATTTGATTATTGGTGTACTTAACTTTACAGAGGGAAAGAACTACAATACCATGAAGCATTGTTAATGACAAATAAAGAAGTTGATTTTATAAATAAACAAAACATTTTACATTTACAGCAAAATATGCATATCTTCTAAATATGAAGCAGTTTGAGAATGCAGAGAGATCTCTGCTCTGTGGGCATGGGCAGCTGCTAAAGAGTCTTTTTAGTGTGATTTTCTTGTTGTAATTCTCTGATTAGCGAAGATTTATTTGTGCAGAATCATGGGTAATGTAGTTTTATCAGGTATTCCACTGTTGAGCACGAATGTGGTTGAAATAAGTTGACATGAAAATATGAAATAATGCGAACAGATGGCTTCAATGAGCATCAAAAACATATACCATCGACTAACAACTTGGTAGCTCAGTTGGCCTGTCTTTCTTGGTTAAAAAAAAAGTTATTGTTAAAAATCAGGGGAAAATTAATGGGATTTTATTTTTGCAGAAGATCAAGACTGTAAATTTAGAATGTATATATATCTGATAAAGTTGATGAATACACTAGCATATAGATGTTAGCCTCAAGCTAATTTTAATTTCATTGCATTTCAGTTTGTAATGAAAACAGACAATTTTCACTGGTAAAATTTCAGTATCATGACAATCCTACTTAATACTTATTAACTGCCACATTCTTAATTATACATTTAAATTAAAATTTGTAATTTTTTAAAAATGTCTATACAGTTTAAAGTTTAATTTATTTCGTTTTTGTTGTTTTTATTTCAGTTAAACTAAAAAAATTGGAAAAAATGGTTGCTGAAATAAAATATATTTTTTTATTTTTAAATAAAATGTTACTTCAGGTAACACTGTATTTCAAGTAATGGTTTTAGTTTTAGTTAAGTATAATAACCCCGCTGGGTAGTTGACGTTGCGTATCGATTTATTTTTTTAAGATTTTAAGTTAACTTTTTTTTTTTTTTTGAATGTTTTATTTGAATGTGTAAGGGAAAGTTTGAAACATTAATTACTATTTCATTCCATTTAGGTTTTTCAGCACATTTTTAATTTTTAAAAAATTTTTTGCCTTCGCTAATTCATTTTAAATGACCCGGTGGTGAATTTTTAAAAGTACTACAGATATAAATCTCTTACTCATTTGAGCTCATAAAATCTGCATGTATAATAATTAGAAAATAATTGACAAAATGCTGTTTAACTGTGTTTTATAGTTTACCAGCGGAATATTTTTAGATGGAGTTTAGCAATTTCATGTCAACTACTCGCTTACATCAAACTAGCAGCATTTTGACTGAGATGAGGGGGTTCATACCGGTGAGCCCCTCGGTCTCCTGGGAGTCCAGAAAGGGTGCGGGACCCCAGACCCTCACGGTGCCGTCATCCGAGGCGCTGTTTTTCAGCACATTTTTAATTTTTAAAAAATTTTTTGCCTTCGCTAATTCATTTTAAATGACCCGGTGGTGAATTTTTAAAAGTACTACAGATATAAATCTCTTACTCATTTGAGCTCATAAAATCTGCATGTATAATAATTAGAAAATAATTGACAAAATGCTGTTTAACTGTGTTTTATAGTTTACCAGCGGAATATTTTTAGATGGAGTTTAGCAATTTCATGTCAACTACTCGCTTACATCAAACTAGCAGCATTTTGACTGAGATGAGGGGGTTCATACCGGTGAGCCCCTCGGTCTCCTGGGAGTCCAGAAAGGGTGCGGGACCCCAGACCCTCACGGTGCCGTCATCCGAGGCGCTGGCCATGAGGCCCGGCAGCGCGGGGTTCCAGCTCACGCAGTTGACCGTGCGCGTGTGACCCGTCAGCTCGGCTATGGGCAGCTCGCTGCGCTTGTGCCAGATGTAAACTTTGTGGTCTAAGAGAGAACACACAGATCACAAACCCCATCAGCTCTCTGCTGGATGCATTCAGTCCATTATACTGAGACGCAGACGTTCTCACCTTCACTGCCACTGGCGATAAAGTCTTCGTTGTAGCCGCCAAAACAGGAGTGGATGGTGTAGAAGCCCTGAGTCACACCCTGGTACTTCCTGACTAACACCCGGTCCTGCAGGTCCCACAGATGAACTCCCTGCAGACAGGAACATACAGTGCTAAAACAAAATCACACCTATTACTTTAACTGTGTGAGTAATAAGTCAAACAGGGTAATTTGGTAACAGTTTACAAAAAAGGTCCCATTAGTTAGTGTTAAAGCATTAACAATGAGCAACTTGTTAAGGCCTGTTCCGCCAACTACTATGACTATAACGATAACAATAAAGATACAGTTTTAAAAATCGTTCCAATTGAAAAAGAATAGCAATGATAACGACACACATATTGGAATCGCTTTCACAACAATATTTTTCCAGCTGATAAATGATAAAAACACTGACAGCCAATCAGAATCCACCGTGCTTTAAAGAGCGCGAGAATTTAAAGCGGCAGAAAAAAACTGAACGATATTGTGCACTGGTATCATTATAGTTATCTTTAGAGTTATTGTTCTTGCTGTGAATGGGCCTTTGCACTAGTTTATTGTTTAGTTCAATTAAACTTTATTAATTAATTAGCTACATGTACTTACTATGGGGTTGAGATTAGGGTTTGGTTTAGTGTTAGTTGCATGTAATTATGCATAATTTACTGGTATTACTATAGTGCCTACATGTGTAACGGACATCGTAAAATAGTGTTATTGTTAGTTCACATTAGCTCAGGTCCATTAATTAATATTAACAAATACAACTGATATTGTATTTTCTGATGCTGTCATTTTGAGTGTTTCTGCATGACGTTGCAGCTGTCAGAACTCTCAGAAAATTCAAAGTTTACAAGATTCTAATTTTAATTCTAAGAGGATGTCAGCACTTTTTACAAGTCGAAATTGTAATTACGGTGATTCTAACATGGCCTGAACACACACAACTTCATGGAATCACACCCTAATCTCAGATTGTTCATAACAAATTAATAAGTCTGGCATCAGTACAAAAAAAAAAACAGCCCATCCAGCCGTGTTTTCATACTCACCTGAGTTGCGACATTTAACAGAGCTAATCTCCCGTTCTTTGACACGGTAAAGGACATTATTGGATGGTCCTCTTGAACTCTGTAAGAGATGACAACCAAACTCAAACCAACACATCCACATAACCCCTACACACAGAAGCTATAACAGGATCAATCAGTGACAAATGCAGTCGACATACATGTTCCTGTCGGTCAGATCTTCAAAGTTATATCCACGGATGCGCTGGTGTGTATCAGAGGCCAGCACTGTCCTGCCGTCATTCAGACACCACAGACACTGAACACGAACACCCTCCCAGGAGTCCAGCAGGTTTCCGTCCAGATCCTGACCGATAACATTAACACACCCTCATTCACCATCACTTATCAACGTGTGCCTTAAACGGTCACTATGTCTATTTAATTATATTTCATTTTTAATGAATTTTGACATTATTTTCATGATAATTAAGCACACTTCCACACAAATTCTCATTACTTTAATGCGCAAAAATATATATTTTTTTATTTCAAAAAGTGTAAGTAAACATCATGGTTGTATTGGTTTTACTGAATTTAATGTAAACTGTTTTTAATAATAATACTAATAAAAAAAACAGTGTGTTTGATTAATAATTAGGAAGACATTGTGCATTAAAAAGTAAATACAGTTACTAACAAAGCCCAATACTCTACCTAATGCAAAATCAATTAACATTCAATATGATTTCTAACTTTTGATGTCGGCCTGAAATATGACCCAGACATTTGCTAACGAGATTCACCCAATTATATCTGAGAACACTGTAACTGTACAGCGGCACTTACACACTGGTAGAACTGGCCTCTCTGACCTCCGGTAACGAAACGCTTGCCGTCTGGATTCCAGGCCACGCTGGTCAAGCTGTCCTCATGGGACTGGCTCATTTTGGTTCTCAGTTCCCCTGTCTGGAGGAGCAGAGCGGCGGATTAAACCGAGACGAGCTGGTGGAAGGAATCTGAGCGGGCGAGACCCTCACCTGCACGTTCCACAGCCAGAGCTCGGAGCAGTCGTCCGGGCCGCACGCTATCAGATACGTGTCGTCGGGGTTCCAGGCCAGATACGAAACCCCATAGGCATGACCCTCCAACGTCTTCAGCTGCTTGAGCTGGTGAGAGTCCTGTCAAAACATCTGACCATCAGACTCTTGGCTCGTGAGCGCAATGCTGCGTTATTTCCAGTGCTGGGTAGCAACTGATTAATCTGGATTACGTAATCAGATTCCAAAAATGAATTACTTGTAATTAGATTATATTACATTTTAAAATACTCGTAATCAGACTACAGATTACATGCTTATATTATTCACACAACAGCAATATATTTAGAATGTTACAAAGATTTATATTTCAAATAAATGCTGTTCTTTTGAACTTTTAAGAATCCTGAAAATAAACTGTATCACAGTTTCCAAAAAATATGAAGCAGCAGAGCTGTTTTCAACATTGATAATAATAAATCAGCAGATTAGAATTATTTCTGAAGGATCATGTGACACTGAAGACTGGAGTAATGATGCTGAAAATTCAGCGCTGCATCTGGAGGAGCAGAGCGGCGGATTAAACCGAGACGAGCTGGTGGAAGGAATCTGAGCGGGCGAGACCCTCACCTGCACGTTCCACAGCCAGAGCTCGGAGCAGTCGTCCGGGCCGCACGCTATCAGATACGTGTCGTCGGGGTTCCAGGCCAGATACGAAACCCCATAGGCATGACCCTCCAACGTCTTCAGCTGCTTGAGCTGGTGAGAGTCCTGTCAAAACATCTGACCATCAGACTCTTGGCTCGTGAGCGCAATGCTGCGTTATTTCCAGTGCTGGGTAGCAACTGATTAATCTGGATTACGTAATCAGATTCCAAAAATGAATTACTTGTAATTAGATTATATTACATTTTAAAATACTCGTAATCAGACTACAGATTACATGCTTATATTATTCACACAACAGCAATATATTATTCATAATTTATTGAGTCTCAAAAATTCTTGTTTTTCATCTCTTAAATGTTCACCTAATATATCTGCTTGAAGTCTCCTTGAGATTTTAAGGTATTTTAATAGTTAAGTAACACATTTGCATGTTCACGATTCTCTGACTTTATTAAAGGGGTCATATGATAATAATTTTGTGTATTTGGTGTAATGAAATGTGTTTATGCGGTTTAAGGTTCAAAAAACACATTATTTTCCACATACTGT